TATACAGTCATATGATGTATTCGGTATGAAATAGCCGAAAGATGACGTTCGGAGACTTTTGGCGGGGGTCTGTATATAAATATTTATAATACCAACTATAAAATTCGTGTAACCTGATCAGCCAATCCATGAAAGTCTTTCTATGAAATATTGACGCAGTATTAACCAGTAATATATGCGTAATAATTACATGTTGTGGGAAACATTTTTATTATGTTATTATTAACTGATAAAAGTATTTTTTTTTTATTTTTTCTTTTTTTTTTTTTAAAAAAAACGATAATTTTAAGTTGTTATTGTCGCTAATTCGATTATACACAAGATATTGTACAAAATAAAATAAAAATGTCTCAATTAGCACTTGTCGCCTCAGCAATGTCCTCCTCTACGTCCGTAAAAACATATGATGAATGCGTAGCAAATAAATATCCAATTGTACACGCACAAATTTTAGATGTAAATATCATTCATGTCTTGATGTTGTTTAGACACGTTGAAACCGAAAAAAACGCCTCCAAATCCGCCCTCAATGATCCTAGTAAGGGGTTCATTCAAATCTTTGTTAAAACCCTTTCTGGAGAAAGTCGGGCAATGTTCGTGTCCTCACAAAGTACTGTCCTTGAATTGAAACGTGTCATCCAAGAAAAGCTTGGATATAAAATCACGCAGATGCGTCTTGAATTGGCTTGTAAACCATTGGAAGATGATAAATCTTTAACCTCTTATGGTGTCAAACAAGGTGATAATATATGTATTTTATTTCGATTATTGGGAGGCCTTGGTTTTTATGTTATCAAGGAAAATTTACTAGACCGTAAATATGATCGTGATTATACGAATATAAAAAATGAAGGTAAAATTTACATTCGTGGGAAACTAACGTACAACAAGCCTTATGGATGGAAAAGAATAGCACTTAATGTTTTAGGAAAGTATGGTTCAAATAACAAATGGTTAGGTTGCGTTGGTAATAGTTCTGAAGAATGGTCAGTTTCTTATCATGGTACTAAAAAGGATGTTGTTGATTCTATTGCCATTAATGGTTACCTGCTTAGTAAAGGATTAAGGTTTGCATACGGGAAAGGAATTTATTCATCTCCTAAAATTGAGGTGGCTGAAGAATATGCGGCTCAATTTGTTCATGCTGGTGCTAAATATAAATTTGTTTTTCAGAATAGAGTTAACTCTGCAGGATTGATCAAATTTGATAATGTTGATTATTGGCTTACACCAGATGAAAAGAATATTCGACCATATGGGTTATGCGTGAAAAAAGTTCAATAATTATAATATGGTATTTTTCCGATCCGCGTTTTTCTCAAATGTATGCTTCATAATTGTGTAATAATATTGTAATACGAAATAAAAGTCAATCCAACAGAATTAATTAGAAATTCTTTCTTCTGCATTTGTGAAATAAATAATTTTGTTTTTCATGGTGTATTAGTTTAATTAATTAAAAAGCTAATCATAAGAAATCTTTTCTTTCTACATAACCTTTATCAGGGTTTTCTTACAAACAACTTACCATCAAGACATTGAAAGAAAGTAAAGATATTAGTTAGGAAATTCTAAAGTACTTATAAAGCCTTATAAAGAAGTTTTCACTTTTTTTTTTGAATAGTCATGTTGTTGTAATTCCCTTCGGAACTAGAATATTAATTTAATTGGGAACTTATTATTATATTTACGCATAAGTGTTATCTATCAAAACCAAATTATTTGAAAACCAGTATTTCATCGCAAAACGTCATAGGTTTTGCTATTTTGCTAGAATTTGATGTGAACGACGAATTCTCCGAAAAATCACACTTCCAGATTATTTGAATTTTTTCACCACCACATTTTGATGAACGACTCTCATTTAAGACTAAATCTGCTGATACCGTTTATCTATGGAAATTATTGTCAATCGCACAACATTTCAAAAGTGATAATATCTGAGGTAATTCACCAAGTAATAAGATTGAGTATTAAATTTAATTTAATTTATATTTTAATTCGATAATTTGAAAGTAAAGTTGTTAAAAACCGCCAGGTTCAATTTATAAAATTAGTAAACCAATTTAAAGAATTCTAAGTATTGCATCAAATTTTTCAAAGAATGAGAATGATTTAGGAATCAAAATTACAATAAAATTAAGGATAATAACATTAGGGGATAATTAAAGATTTTAGATCAATTAACTGATGTGAGCTTAAAGATTTCATAAAAATTATTGATATCATTTGTTATTTCTTTATTATAATGGTAGCATTATTCAATTTCGTAATATTTTTTTATCCAAATAAAAAAAATAAAATAATTATTCAAACATAATACATAAAATTCTAATATTAAAAGGTAAAAATAGAATTTCAAAATACATATTTATTTGAACCTTCCCAAAAAAGTTTAGAAACATAAAAATATGCTTGTCACGGATGCAGTAATACGAAACGTTATTCTGGAGGAAAATCTATTCCTGCATCTCTCATCGTTTCGTTCAATTCTAAATATGCCCTTGAGGAATATTGACTTTTTAGATCACCAAAACTATCCCCCCAGTGACCATTTTTATAAATCAGATCACGTTTTAATATATTTCTATTTGTTTCATCTGTGTATAATGGAATTACTCTATCCCTAAACAGGATGGTTTTAGTAAAAAGAAAGACTATGATATAATTGAACCATTTCAAAAAAATCAATCTCCAAAAAGAAAGTAGCATCCTTGTAAATTTATTATCGAATTGTATGTCATCATCATTATATTCCTCCTTTATTTCTAATAAATCACCGGCGCGTTGAACTTTTCCTATCATCCACAAAAGACTTTGACTAGATATTTTTTCATTGTTTGAAAGTATTCCTCCTCCTACCTCCAAATGTTTTCCTGGGAACCAAGTCTCTTCGATCTTCACTAAAGAAGCATCACTATTCTTATAGATCCGACAAGGTTCAAGAAGAATTAACCTTTCATGGATACTTAAAACTTGACATGCATTATGAACTACATTAGATACATTTTGATCATAGAATTTCAAATATTCAAATCCTTTTCCAATAGTGTACGTGGGTATGCCGTGAGCGCCTACGGTATCCCAAAGTCCAAGAAACCTAATGGGTCTGTTAAGATCATGAGTGAATGCATCCCTAAAGTCTTTAGATTCATAACCATCTGTATCATGAGCCGGATCTCTACTACGATAAATCTCATAGGCACGTTTGATGAGTCCTTCGTTATTAAATTTCAATATCCCACAATTTCGTATCATTCCGGCAACACATCTCACGATGTAAGCACCACGACTAAAGCCGAAAAGCCATATTTCTTTACTTTCGAATTCATTAATTTCTTCATTATACTCTTCGACTATCTTTTTGTAAGCTTCCATGATGATATCATCAAGTTCTAGAGCTAAAGCTCCATTTAGAAAAAAGAATATATTTGATACCTTTGTTCCTACTCCTTGCCTGTACCAAGGTTGTTGTCCTTGTTTCATTAATAGCTGATACAAATCATAAACATTGGTTTTAGTACTCAGACCATTCCAAGTACCATCACACAGTACAATAATATTTTTGACTCGTTGAACGATTATATAATGTTTCCTTCCCATCTCATCAGAAAAATATTCACTAATCTTTGAGAACGGAGGTAGTTCCTCACCATCAAGTTCGTTAAGCAAATTAGAACAGTTAATGTTTAAACTTTTCTTATCTTGAATGTCGACCTTCCATAAGTTAAATTTGTTGAGTCTTTTAGCGTTAACGTTTACGACATCCTTGATAGTTTTCTTAAGGATATTGACGGTCACGTTAGCTTCTACAGTAACTTCGAAAAAGTTATTTTCATTGCTTTCACCAAAAATAAAACAGTTTAGAGTAATAGACATGGTTATATAAATGGCCTTGTTGAAGTTGGGGGAAGAAGAAAAAAAGAAAATTTAAGGGGTGAAAATAGAAAATAATCGAACATGACGATCACAACCTTTGTGATCAAAAAAGTGACAAATGGTTCCGATCTACGTTTTGCATATGATATGAAGCATTCAAACTACCCTTTTTGTAGTCTGTTTTTTGTAAATTGCGATATAAAAAGCAATATTACATAAAAAGCATTACGAATTGACGGAGACATTTCCATAATATACTTCTGATTATTATAAATATTATAAATATCTATTTTAATAAATAAACCAAAATTTTGAAACTTGACAAATCCTTCAAAAAAATAATAAAAAAAAAACTCTAGAAAAAAAAATATATATATATATGAATTTCTATAAATAATGAATAAATTAATTGAGAAATCTAATTGTCTTTAATATTAATTATTAAATCATCGTTACTATCGCTTTTTTCGAAATTTTCTTTTCCTTTTCCGCCAAAATTTTCATCTAAAAGGATTCTGATTTCGTTAAGTAATTCTATTTTGGAATTTTTCCAATCATCTCTAGTCATGAATCTATTCATTAAATCTTTACAATCGGATTTCGTCATTAAATTATCACAATCAGCTTTTGTCATTGGTCCTTTATTAAGGACTTCCATATCTGCCAACCTTCTTAATTCATTAGAGATGTGTGGCGTGCTATTCGATGGTAGACTGTAATCTATTTTTGTGATCAGTTGTTTAACATCTTCAATTGGGGCTTCGTAATATCTGCAAATAAAAAGAAAGGTCAAGATGGTTTCTCTCTCTTCACACGCAGGCTTTTTAATCAATCAGGAACTTACATCACATCTGGAAACCAATGTCTCCATCTTCGTTGATTGGGAAGCAAAAGAAACATCTCAATTTCGGCCAAAACCTTTGCTTTTTGAAGCAAGAATAACGAATGTGACCGATTTTCCTCAATCTCCAAATTAAGTAATCCAATAAATAAGTTCATGAGATATATTACAACCAAGAATGAAAACAATGTTAACAAGATCGCCATGAAAGGGTTTGCCTTATATGACCATGAGCTAAGCGCTGATGAATCTCCCGTCAAGAACAGATACATGGCAAAAAGTGAAGTTTCATAAGTGGAAAATTGATTTAAAGAATCTTCGGGTTGTTGAATCAGAATAGGTTCGGAACTGATTTGACCATTTGGTGAAACCGATTTATATTCGGTGACAAGATTCCAAGGGTTATTTGGGTCAACATTAACAACAGGTTCATCTAAACTATAATTTTCATTCGGGGATAAAATAATATAAAAAGCGTGCGCAAAACTAATAATAATGAGGAATAATATGAACAGAAAAAAGAATATCTTCCTGGCCACACCAATGATAATAGTAAAATAAGAGCCGAAGTAATGAAATACTCGCAAAAATATCATAAATTTAAAGTGCAAGAATAGGTTCGATATGGAAATCAGAGGTAATGACGGTTTTTCATAAGACAACCAATATATCGCAGTATATACTGGGCAGATGTATGCGGAGAGATCTAAAAAGTAAAACAAAAAATATAAATATGAAGCGTAATTATTTGATGAATTAAACCGGTAGCATACCAAACCAATTCCATGGATCTGTGATATATTTCGTCCAATCCCAGATGATTTGTCTAATTTCATGAACGATATGAATTAAACCGAGAATAATGCTAATCAATAAAGCAATATCTCTTCCGTCATTTGATATAACGGATGAAGACAAGGTTGTAACAATCCCAAATGTAAGCAAAAACGTGGAAAAACTTCCCCACATGAGAAAAAAGTAATATTTTCCAAAAGTATTCCATTTGAAATTAAGCAATGCCTCAGCATTCCAACATTCGTAAAATATTTTGTCATCCATAGCAACAAATTGGTTCCCTTTTGGTTTTAACAAGTCAGACCAGAAATTATATTTCGGGGGATATTTCGTAAAACCCAAGTAAGGAATGATTAAACTAATTACCCTCGTGCTTTGAGCTTTTTTATAACTCGTACTGCAACAAAAATTGAGGATAGAATTCCAAACATTTTGAAAGTCATTATGTTTATATACTTGTACGGTATTCGGATGATCAGTATAACCAACCATTTTGGTTCGATCAGAAAAATAAGTTTTATGGATGCAAGGATTTGGGACGATTAAAGTAATGGATATAAACCTTGAGTAATAAGTATTAAATTCCAAATTTAACATTTGCAGATATTTTGTGATAAAGCTGCAGAATCTATAATGATTCACAATATCGTTGGTAAGTAATTCATATAATTTGTATAGGCAAGTACGTAACATCTCACGTTCATTATAAATAATAGCATTATTAATCATTTCATCGCTCATTTCTATGATATACTTTCTTGCATGCAGAAGTTCGCTGATTATACATGAAATATCTTCGTCTAGATTGTTTAGAAGGTTCAAGTTTGGGCTCGGAAGACTTTTGCAATTAAGAAATGTTCTAACATCATGATAAAAATATTTAAGAACAATATTACTAGATGTCTCATTAAAGCCAAAAATGATGATTCCAGATTTGTCGTAACATACAAGGTCATCATTATCTAGAATTATGAGTCCCTGAATGTCAAGCTTTAACCTCTTGAGTCCTAATATTGGTTCATTTTGTAGCTGATCGATTTGTTTAATTTGACAAATGCCATACTTATCTTGTTCGGTTTTATTATAAACAAATAAAGATCCGAACGTGATAATCTTCCATTTCAATTTTTTTCCTACGGCAATAATCCCATCATCTTTTTTGAAATTTTTAATCGTTCCCTCATACGAATCTCTTATGACTTTGAAGCTTGAATAAATTGCTAGATTGGGATTACGCTTCATCTGATCATACAACTCATTAAGCATTTTGATAATTTTCTCAGGAACGATAAAATCTATCAATTTGATTTTTCCGCCACAGCTAAGTATAACTTTACTATATTGAGAGGTTGGTGGTTCAACAATCGTGTAATTTGTAACTTTGGAACCGTGGGGTAAGAATTCTTGGATATCATATTCATCTACACATTCGTATGCGGTCTCATAGGGATCCATAATCATGTAAATAATCCTCTCATTTTCTTTGTCTAATGAATATAAGACCAAAACCTCAAGATTATTACTTTCTAAAAATTGAATTTTTATGTCTTCACCCTCAAGTACGACTTGCCCTGAATAATGATTGGTCGATCAGTCAAACGTTGGTAAGATAAGAAAAATAAAAAACCCAGATAAAAAAATAATCCTAGATGGCCACTCACTTGATGATACTTGAAGACCATTTTTCATTGAATATACATATAATAAGAAAGAGTTATGCAATGGGCTCAAGTGTTTCAAGTAAATTGCGAATAAGCTCTTATCACTATTTACTACCCCTTTCCAAATACAATTCTCAAACTTTTCACATGGAATTCCTGAAACGACGTAGTTGTTTTCAATAGTCCATTTTTCGGTATTTAAATGAAATATCATAACAGAACCTTT